GTATTGAAAGTAGGTAATTAAGTATTTAACGAATTTACATAAAAAAAAAGAAGTCTACCTTTAATACTGTAAAATTAATTATTACATTTATTTAATATTTAATAAATTGATTTATGTTATTGAATAATATGAGTTGATTAAAAATTATAATAATTTTCAATAAATGGTAACCTTAACAATATTTTGGGTAATTATTATGGGGAAGCGAAGCTTACTATATAATTTTGTGATTAAACTATAATAATATATTTGGTGAAAAAGGTATTGTCAGGACATTCGCTAAAAAAAATCCAAAATACACCACTGTCAGGGCCGCAGCAAGGGAGGGCTAGAGGTGCCTACGTCCAAGGCGCAATTCCCAGGAAGGCGAAAAATTAAAAAATTTGCATTTTAATTATTACTTATAAGTAAAAGCAATATTATGTATTTCTGTAATTACTTATAAAACTTATAAATATTATTATATTATACCTATGAATCTACTTATAATTATTATTTATATTTATATTTTAATGAGTTATTGATTTAAATTAAATAACGCTTACATAATTATAAGAAAAATCATTATTTATATTACATATATAAAAAATATTCAGTTTTTTTGTGAGTTTTTTTTATAAATTAAAATACTTAAGGGCGTATTTTGAAGTTTCGCCCCGAGTGCAATATTTGGTTGCTACGGCCCTGGCCACTGTCTTTAAATATACTTAGGTCACTTCTAGACTTAAATATACAAACAATAACAAAGATAAGTTAATGCATAAATGGTAGGTACCTAAATTGCATTTTTTTTTTTTTTACTTGTTTACCAAATACTAAATATTTTTATTTTATGTCCACATTCCAAATAACTGGAGACGTTTAAAATAATATATACATACATAAATATATACATAAAATAATTACAAGCTGGTAATAATATAGGTAATAATATATGGGTAGGTAGAGTCTTAGTTCGTGATGATAACACTTATTGCTTACTATATTGTTGTTATTATTATAAATAATAGTATTTATAACATAAAATAAAATTTTCTGTACAGTCTACACAATGTAAAACGATAATAGTTCAGCAATCACTATTTTTTCTGGTTTTTCTTACTGTCCGCGTCCATAATATTACAACGAATGAAGTAACCTTATTGCCAATTAAAAATCCAAATTGGAACTGAACTTAATGAACGGCTGAACGCTGAAATTTTAATCGTTATTAAGCCCGATTTACACTTACACACCATGGCGTATTTTAGGGGGGGGGCGATCATCCCCCTTTCTGAATCTATATTTAAGGAACCGATTATACGAGTATGTGAGATACATATTACAATTTTTTATAATTTGGATCATTTTATAACGAAATCAAATTAAGCGTGGCTCTGAATACTGAATTGGGCTTTTTGTCGGGTCCATACTTAGTGAAAAATCAAATAAAACACAAGCGTAACTTTCAAAACACAAACAGATGTTAAAAAAGAAATTCTAAAGTACAAAGACCATTGGGAGTTGCAGTAAAAGAAAAAATGTACAGTGTATTAAACAAAAATCCTGATTTAAACTGCCTAAAATTAATTAAAGATGTACATTGCGAAATGTATGAGGTAATTTGCAGAATGAGCTTACTCTTTTGGACATTGGAAATATGAAATTTGCACTCATTACCTCTGTTGAAGTCAAGCGCTCCTTTAGTCAGTACAAATCTGCGTTAGGACCAAACCGTTGATAATTTAACTTAGACAATTTGAGCATATATATAGTATCTCATTGCCATCAAGATCAAGATGAATAAGGATCAATTTCATAATAATTTTAATTAAAATGTCTTAATTTTTTTATTTTCATTTTTTGTCATTTATAAAGTGATTTTTAATATTTTTTTTGTCAGTAATGATTAGGAATTTATTTTAATAAAGATTATTAATATATTTTGTTGATACATTACAATTACCTACTTGACATAGGCATTTTCATTTAAAATTTAAAAATTAAATTAAAATGTAATGAATAAATTACGGGATATATGGAATTCCTAGAGTACATTAAATTTTATCTTAGGAAAGGGGGGTATGTTCACTGAATTATAAAACTATATATTTTTGAAAAAAGAACTCACATCATTGTAAAACCAATATATTCTTTACTTAGTTCAAAATCTAAAAAGCTCATGGGAGATCTATCTCCTTTGTATAAGCTCCTGTAAGAGAAGCCAATTTGTTTTTGCCCTGGGGCGTAAATTGTCTGTATGCGACACTGACAATATATTGACGATGGAATGATTAATCGTAAAGAGTAGAGCCAGATTATGGTCATTATATGAGGGGGTTATTACTTTTAGTGAGACCCTTTTACAAAAACTATTTTTATTCAGATTTAGTTATTTGTAATAAATATTAATTAAAATAAGTTTAGTTTATTTGTATATTGTTGAAAACTATATTTTTTTTTCTTTTTTTTTTCTAGCTTAACGGTCCTCGAATGACCAAAGCTGTCACAAGTAATCCTCTCTACTTTTCTCTGTTCAATGCCAAATCCACTGATACATTCAATCCCAATATCTTGATGTCTTTCTCTACTGCATCTTTTCATCTCGTTCGTGGTTTGCCTATTTGTCTCTTCTTGTGTATGGTCTCCGTTAGTACTTTTTTTGTGATATCATTACCAGCTCTCCATACGTGCCCAAACCATTCCAATCTCTTAATTTTATATATATTAGTATATTAGATTTTTCATACATTTTATGTAGATCGTCATTTTTTCTTTTTTCAAATATTCCTAACTCTGTGTTATATACTAGGCCAAAGATGTTTCTTAATATCTTTCTTTCGAATATTGCTAGACTGTTGTTATCAACTCTCGTTGAAGACCATGTTTCATATGCATATGTAATTATTGGTCTCAAATAGCTTGAATAGAGCTTAGTTTTTGACTTCCTTGACAGTGATTTTGATTTTAGTAACTTACTTATACCATAATAACATCGGTTTCCATTAGTTATTCTCTCACTTGTTTCTTGGTACATGTCATTTTTACTGTTTATGTTCACTCCTAAGTATTTGAAATTTTCCACTTTTTCAAAGGTTAAATTATTTACTTGTAAATCGGGCTGATTTTCGTTGCCCCAGGAGAGAACCATACATTTAGTCTTATCTTCATTTATACATAGCTCCATATTTTTACTTGCTTCCAACAATTCTGATGTAAATTGGGTAATTTCTTGTCTGGTGTTAGCTAAAATGACTATGTCGTCTGCGTACGCTAATATCGATTCCTTACCATCTATCTCCATTTTTTGTCTTTGGTTTAATTCTCTTATGACCTTCTCTAGACCTATGTTGAATAGTGTCGGGAACAGGGTATCGTAGTCCTGAGTTAATTTCGAATTCCGACGATAGCTCTCCTAAAAATTTTACTTTACATACTGTCTTGGCATTACATAATTTGACCATATCAACGTAGTTCTTTGGTATACCGAAGTTAAACATGGTTTTCCATCAGGGCCGGCCCTAGTTTTTGCGGGGCCCCTGGACAAAATCATTTTCCATGTCTTTATTTTTTTTTTTAAATAGGTGCATAATATGTATATAGATTATGATGAGGAGATACCTAAATAAAATTACAGACAATGCGGTCGCGATGCAATAGTACATTCAACATTTCTATGAATGCGATTTGATCAGAAATTCAGAAAGAATAAAATCAATTTATTTAACGAAGTTTGTCTAATAAGCAACAACACTTATAATATCATATACATAACAATTAACCATTTTTAAAAATGTTACATACCTTTATATAAAATATAAAAATCGTAAAAATCGTAAAACAGCAACGTCTAAAATCTGAATGTCAAATATCAGGCTTTATTTTAAGGTACAGTAGGACACTAATTATGCATTAGGAACAATAAAATGTGCTGTAGATTTAACGAAAATGTGCACTTTATTATTATAAAAGACGATTTGACCGTTCATGAAATATCAATAAAAATAAATAAATTATAAACATGACGATTTGTTTGAATATTAGGTTAGTGAAATCGATGTTGGCTACTTCCACGTCTTTGGATTCATTATCTGCTTCATCAGAATCAATAAAATTAGCGTGGAGTGTGTGGGGGCGAAGCCGCCTTGTAACATATATTTTATTTGTGCAGTCAGAAAAAATTCTTTCAATAAAGCCTGTCAAATACAATTAAAAAGTGATATTATCAATATCAAAGGGTCGTATTTTTTTAAAATTTCATGTACAACAAATAAAAATAAAACGAAATAATTGATTGCTAGCGTCAAGCGTCAGCGCTCTGATGCTGTAAGACACTTGAATCTTCGACTGTTGAGTAGATATTATTATAACTATTATTAACTAAAAGTACATAACGCTATTTATAAATATAACTATGCAATAGGTATTTGTACAAAATACAATAAATATTATTTCTCTCAAAAGCATATTGTAACTTTAACTCTATGAATTTATGATTTTTTATTTTTTCGATTTAACTATATACTCGTATTAGTTACCTAGTTATCATGACGTACTTAAGCGTGGGGCTCTAAAATTCGCGTGATGCTCAGGTCAAACGTCCCAGTTGACCTACCCTAGTGCCGGCCCTGCTTTTCATAATTCTTCTTTTTTCATAGTTCTTTCTAGTTCTTCATAGTTCTTTCATAGTTCTTCTTTCTTATAATTTTTGAAAATTATACTAACATTTAATTTTTTTAACATATTAATTTGATGCCATTTTATATGAAAAAATAATTGTCTGCTTATTGTGGTCCCTTTCAACTTGCAGCCCAAGGCTAAAGACCCCCCTTCCTTGATCCAGCTCTGGTAAAGAGTAATAAAAAAGATAAAAGTTATCTGGCTACGTTTTTTTTACGTAGTGTTGCAATCATTTTGTTTTTTACCACTTACCGCAATCTATGATTTCCTAATATAGGTAACGTCAAAGAATACAAAGTATCAGAGTAATCATACAAATCTCATTCCGACCAAAATAAAAGGTGTTATCATCATAATATTAAATCACGTGCGCTGATAGCCTGATACTAGAACTTTCTCGGTGTATTGTTACTTTTGGTGGGATCAGTTTTAACAATTTTATAAATTCGTTTGTATTCCTGATACATACTTACGAAAGCTTCATATTTTATAATACTTTTTAATAAGTGTTTATAATTATCGGTATTCCATATCATATATTTTTATATTATCTTGACAAATATGAGGAGAAAACCTAATATTCTGATTACTGGTTAGTATTCACTTCTTCACATAAGTTAAGGAAATAAATACTTCAAAATATAATTAACTTATTTTCGATAAAGTTCGAGAGGTTTTATTTTCATGTCCTGGTTAAGTTTTATTATTTTCTCAGTTGATTTCCTAAAAGCCATAAGTTACTATTCTACTGATTTAAGTAGTATTATACTATCGCTAGTATTAATTTATGCTATATTTATAATTCATATTAGTAGTTATTTTATCATGTAGTTTATTTCTTCATTCTGTTTAGGTACACCTGGTGTTGGAAAGTCAAAACTTTGTGAAGAATTAATCCGGAATGGATTAGATATGGAATGGATTGAAGTCAGCCAAGTAGCTAAACAGTTCAATTGTTATTCTGGATACGATAAAGAGTTGGAGTGTCATATACTGAATGAAGATAAGGTATTTATTTAATTAAAAATCTATTAAAAATGTTTACTATTTAAGAATTTTCTATAATTTTCAGTTGTTAGATGAATTGGAAGCTAGAATGGAAGTAGGTGGTAAAATTATTGATTATCATGGTTGTGATTTCTTTCCAGAACGTTGGTTTGATGTAGTGTTTGTGTTGAGAACTAATAATACATTATTATTTGATCGCCTTGAAAAAAGGTTAGTACCCTAACTCTACCTCAAATTTATATTTAAGTTTAATTATAAATATTATAAATATAGTATTTTTATATATATTTTTTTTTTATTAATTTAATTAGAAAACATTTTAATTTAAAATTTCACAATTTGTAACTCAGCTAAGTAAGTAAGATTAGCTAGGGTGAAAACTAAAATTTAAAAAAATTTTATTGTGTAGAGAAAAACAGACTAAAGCAAAAATTAAAGACATTTTATTGAATGGAATATTTTTTCAACTTTGTTGTACTATATTAGTTTTGTTGTGCTATAAATTAAATAAATATTTTATAATATACATTGAATGATTGAACCAGGTAGACTAACATTAATAGCCTACATTACCAAAAATACTATAAAATCTCTTTATTCCTTACTTAAATAAGATTTTTAAGGTGTTAATCTAACTTATCGTGTATTCATATTTAAGAAATTCATTATATTTGTTTATAATTACAATATAATTCATTATTAAATATACCCTTTAAACAATTTTTAGTTATACCACTAACCCAACTATTACTGAACAATTCAAATCTTAAAATATAATTTGGTTTTTCAGAGGTTATTCTACAAAAAAACTTCAAAATAATGTACAATGCGAAATATTTCAAACTTTATTTGAAGAAGCAATGGAATCATATGACAACAATATAGTACATGAGTTACGTAATGAAACTTTTGCAGATATGGAACGTAATATTAGTCAAATAAGTACTTGGGTTAATCAATGGATTGAAGATAATGTGAAAAAATAATTTAAATTAAATTAATAATGTTTACCTATTTAAATAAGTTCAAATTAAAACCTTAATTTTTCTGAGTCTCTTGATATTTTTTTTTCTTAATATTATATTCTCAATCTATTGCATAATTTTATTACATTATAATTTTTTGGCTAAAAGGACAGATTCAAAATACTTTCCATCAAAGGCTGCACATTCACATTTAATTTTTTTATACTTAGTATATATTTCTTTTGACTAAAATTTTGTTTGTAATTAAGTTTTATTATTTTTGTTACGATGTTAAATTCATAACATTTATGAAAACAATAAGTTGAGGTTTTTATATTTTCAATATTTTTTTATAAAAAAAACAAATAATATTATATTTATATCATATTATATATATATATATATTGATTTTAACATCTTAAAACTTAAATCTAATATAATTGTCTGTATATTTAATAAAAAGACATTCATTTGATTACATATATTACTTGAAATATACCAGAGTTTATTAAAAAAAACAATTTATTCCTGTACTCAACCTTTGAATTGTTTATACTTAACTATCATTAAAAATCATCTTAACTAATAAATAGGTCATGAAACACTATTTATACATTTTATATATTAATATAATAATATAATAAAATTAATAATTTATTGATACATAATTAACAACTTATTTCTGATAATTAAATATAATATTATACAAAAATATAAAAAATATTAATAACATTAATTCTAAGATCTAGGTTCTTTTAATTTTACGATTTTAATATGACGTTCACTTTTAATGTGTGAAATATCTTGAGGAGTTAGAAATATGAACTGATTTTTACGTTGTTCAATAGACATCATCAGTAATTGAGTAGTAGCTAATCGGTTAACATTGTCCATGTAGACATCATACTCATCAATGGAATAAAATGGCAATTGCATATTGCTCCATAATGCTACAATCAATGCAACTGTAGCAAATGTCCGTTCGCCACCAGATGCACATGAAGTACTTATGTTATCAAACATAGTTATGGTCAAGCTCTCGTTGCAGTGATCAATCTCAAGTTTACCTTTAATTTGGCGCAATGACAACACTACATCAAAAGATTGTTGAACTTTAGATTTCACCGAATTGATATAATAATCGAGAGCTTTTGTACTGAGTATTAGAGAATAATTATTGGTTTTGTATATTTTTACAATTTCTTTATATAAGTCACTTTGTTTAATAAATTCTTCCTTTTTCTTCTTAAATTCATCTCTCAACACTAAATGGTCTTTTCTTTTTTTACCCAATTCCATCTGCAACAAGTCATGTTTACGATTTGTTTCTTCTATATCTCTCTTTATATCTTCCTCACTGCGGTTGGTTTCAATTCTTTCACATAATTTATGAGCAATTTTTAATTCTGATTCAATTTTTTTTTTTTCAATCTCTGCCTTTTCAGCCAAATTTCTCATTATTTGTTTTGATTCAGTCAAATAGTTATTAATTTCTGATATATTTATTTTAAAAGAATCAATCTGTGCTTGGAGAGTTTCAATTTGTTCTGATATTGTAGAACGGACAGTATTTTCTATAACTGATTTAATTTCAACAAACTTTTTATTGAGTTTTTCAATTTCATTATCATACTTAGGAAATGGTTTCATGGCATCTTCTTTTAACTTAGTAAGATTAACGATTTTCTCATTAACATCATTAATTTCATTAGTAAGTGTAGTCATTCTGTCATCTTGTTCTTCATCACATTTAGCTTTAAGTTCATTAATTTTTTTTGAACATTCATCAAACTTGCTCTTAATTAATCTTGTTTCTGATCGAGTCTTATCTAAAATTTGCTGATTTTCTAATTTTGATTTTTCTATATTTTCAAACTCTTTGTTTAACTTGATGATTTTTTGTTCCAGTTCCTTTTTCTCACATTTCAAATTATTTATGGCTACTGTAACATCACTTTGTAAGAGAACTGGTTCAGATGGATTTTGTAAGGAATATACTCTATAAGATGGGTTAGGATATACTTGGGTACCATCTAAAGTTAAACTGAAATGACAATTTCTAGGAACTCTAGATGAATTTTCCATTAAATGCATGGCTTCTTCTTTATTCTCAATAAGCATTATTGTTTCAATAGTACTATTATCAATCATGCAATTTGCTACAACAGGACTTGTAAAAGTCAACATACGAAACAAACTGTTTTTTGTTTCTCTAGAACTAATATCATGAACTTGATCAAAAAATTTACTAATAATGATAGTTGGTTTTCTTGTATTTCCTGGTATTATTTTATCCATTATTGATTTGAGCATTTTATTGTCAGTAAAATTGTCAACTAAGAAAGTTCTTAGAAATCCTCGACCTAAATGGTTTTCAACTGAAAATATCCACTTATCACTGTTTACTTTAATGTGTGCCCCAATAGGGCCAATCGGTTTTTTAATAAATTTATTTTGTTTAAATGCATTTTCAATAGCTTGTATTAATGTTGGCATCCAGCTTCCATAAAAATTTATTCTATCTTGCTTATAAGACATACTATTAATATTTCTATCAAGTTCACCTATCCTCCTTTGCAAAGGACTAACTTCATTATTCTTTAAATTGCTAACTTTCTGCCTTAAATCATCAACTGTATTTTGTAAAACTTTTTCATGCTCCATATTTGCTTTCCATGCTGCATGAACTTCAGAAATATATTGCTCATGATGGACAAGTTTTTTCTTATAATGATCTAAAGTATTAGTATTTCCTTTTTGACGTTCAAGTTCAATATGTTTTTCTAAATCTTTTTTATCACTCAGTAGTAGATGTAAAGCATATTCATGTTTCTTCATAGCTTGTTTTGCATTATCATATTCATCTATTTTTTTCTGCAATTCTTTTTTAGTTTCAATAAAAATAAAATGATTTTGTGAACGAGATTCTTCAATGTTGGCTAATTCTTTGTTTTTTACTGCCAATAATTCTAAAGAAGATTTTATTTTATTTTCCAAAGTATTTATTTGGTTTGTACCCTTAGATATATTTTCTTCATATTCTTTAATTTTTTTTAAATATTCTTTATAATTTCTTTCATATTGAGAAACTACAAACCATGAATATTCATTTTCAATTTCACATTTACTCTTTTTCAATGCTTCTAATTGTTTACATTTTTTTTCATACACCTCAAATTCATTTACTTCTTTGTAACATTGAGTTAGAACACTGTGAATATTATCAAGTTTATCTGAGTACTCATTTGCAATTAACTTGGTTTCTTCAATATTTTCATTATATACATCGGCAGATATAGCTTTATAGAAAAGATTATATTTTTCTTTTGGATCTGCACTTTTATGAAATGTTTTAACCATTGCTTGGTTCATGATACATATTGGATTATCTACCAAAATATTAAAATGTTGAACTAAACTTTTTAACTCATTTTTTTTGCTCTTAACAACATGACCATTTTCATTTAAAAACTTATAAGGATTACTTCCAGATTCTGTAATCTGTCTTACTATGGTTATTTGTTTTCCATAAACCTCAGGCCTAAAGGGACTACTTTCATGAGTTCTAATTCCACTATTTGCTAATGTTATTGAAATAGAAGCTGAAGAACAACCATATTTTATTAATGACTTTAATGAAGAGGCACGATTAGTAACACTTGCTCTAGCTCCAAAACCTACAACAAGAGCAGTTTGTATAGCACTTTTCCCACTACCATTAAGTCCAGAAATAAAATTTATTCGAGGATTAAATGTTAAATGAAAATTTGAATGACACATAAAATTTTCAAGAGTAATAGATTTAATACTTCCATCATACCAATCTTCATCATCATATTGTGAATCCATTTGACTGAATACTAAAAATATAAATAACACTTATATTAATTAAATAATAATTTTCTTTGAATAAATTATGTTTATGTTATATTAGGGTGGCCATCCATCCCGGAAAAACCAGGAAGTTACTGGTTTAGGAACTCATGTCCCAGTGTCCCGAAAAAAATTTTTGGAACAAGGCGTTTTTACGAGGATAAGCTATCAACATAATAATGTCCCAGAATTTAACTTCTTTTTTAAATTACTATTATTGCAGGGTTCAAATGCATCAATAGAACGAATGTTTTCATTGATGACTTCTGCTTGGATCGACCTTAGTAATCAAATGAATGTGAAAGATAAAGTTTAATAAATTTTACCTGTTACTATGTCACTATGAAGTATAAAAATATGTAATCTGTATTTAAAATTTTAAAATTAGTTTTTGTTGAAAATAAAAGTATATTAAATAGTTATGATTAGATAGGACAAATAGATCAAGTTAGAATTTATTGTCCCGGATTTCTTTTAATTTTATTTGGCCAGAGTGGTTTGATTGTGTTCTATAAATATTATCATGTCATTCATCAGCATAAAACTACAAGAAACTATTGACATATAGTCAGTACTAAATTAAGAAATAAATCACGTTATGATTGGAAAAAATCTTAATCATCTAATTCAAGTTACCTGAATGATTCTTATAACGATTTACACAATAATGGCAATTCAATTACATCAGACGTATAATGTTCTTCTTAATACTGAATATACTTATGATTATTGAGCAAAATCCAAATTTGAATGTGGTTAACAGTCTAGTGATAGGCGATTCAAATCGATTTTTTAAAAAAATCGATTTTTTGAATTGATTCTGATCGAGTGATTTTATTACTCAATTGATTTTTTTATTTCCCAGGGAAATTTTTCCTCTTGGTACAGACAAGTTTTATGGTCTTAAATGGTCTTTTTTGTTTCAGCCGCCTTTACGTCATTTTCGATTCTTATTGTTTTTCACTCCGTCTGTTAATGATAATAATAAGGGAACAATAAACGCGAAAATGGCGGTAAACATCACTATCTTTATATTCAGCTAATAATCATTTATTGATAACATAATTTATGTTCCGTGCCCTCCACGACTGTAGAGCTGTCATCAGTTGTTTTAACCGGTGTTTCATGGAAAAGTAAGTGCCCCTCTCCTCCGTGAATTCAGAAAAAGTATTTTACAAAAATTTCAAAATAAGTGAAAGATATCTGACGAAATTTTTTTAGATTTATCAATGATTATAATTATTATTTATATATATTTATTATATACAGGCACGGCGGGAAGAGGGACTTTAGCATCCCCAGAAAACAGTTCAGCTCCCTCACCAGTTCCCCCACTGAAAAATATGTTTGATAAAATAAAGTCATAAAACATTATTTTTAAAAGAGGTACATCAAAGAATTTATGAAATATACTTTTTTTAAATTTGTAATTTATGTAAATACTTATGTATTTTCTAATATTTGTGTTTTAAGTTTAAGATAGACTCTGAATTGTATATATTTATTTTACTTAGGTATTTACTTATATTTATTACTATGTGTTTGCTTTCAACTAATTGTGGTTGTATGTCATGAAAATAATAATACTTAGGTACCTATATTATGTTATATGATACGAAAATATTTATATTTTATTTAAAAAACAAAACACTTCTACTCGGGACCAGATCATTTTTCAAACTAAATAATATTTTAATATAGATACAAAACTAAAAATCATACAAGCATATATGTGAACATACGCTTACGTATGACTATGCCTATTATTGCATGATTTATATTGCTAGCAAGTCTATAATGCAAGGAATTGTAATAGTGTGAACCCGACATAATGACCCAGTTGATTATCACGGGTCTACATATTTGTAGTACCCTATAATTGAAGACTATAGGTCCACATTGGTTTTAGTAGTGTTTTTTACATTAGAACTTTAACTTTTAATTTAGTGTGTTTATTATTTATAAGCAAGGGACGTAGTCTGTGGAGTCGGGCATTTAAGGCAAGTCTCTTGATACGGATATGGGCGTTCCAAGTAAGGCGTTTATCCAAGTTGAGTCCTAGGCATCTGACTGTGTTAGATGTTTGAAAAGGTACATTATGTAAAGAGATATTTGGACAGAAGAAGTGACATAAAGTAAAAGTTGTATGGTACTGATTTATTTGGATTTGGTTTAATTCGCCATTTCATGTACCATTCTGACATTAAATTCAGATGAGTTTGTAGGTTCGAAAATGCAATTTGAGGGTTTTTGTCAATTGAGATTATGGTTTTGTCATCCACATAATCGGCTACTATTTTAGGAGACAGGCTGATCTGATGTATAAATATTAAATAAAAAGGGTGAAAGGATTCCACCCTGAGGAACACCAGCGAAAATGTTTTAAATTCCCAAGACAGAAGATCCAAACCGGATTTGTAAGTGGCAGTTTGTTAGATAAAACTGAAGCAGTTAGCCGTATTTAGACATTTTGCGCTCTGGCGCAAAAAAAAAAAAAAAATTGACGCCCTTTTAAGGGGCTTGCCCACGGAAAATATAGGAGAGATCCTCATGAACCTATTAGGTATTCTAAAATCAATGCTATTTTTGTGTAGGCATGTCACACACGATACTATAATACGCCATATTATTATAAATAACTTATGTTTATTCATTCAATTTTATGTTTATTTCAATCATAAAAGTAATAAAATACTTACATTTTAATAATTTTATTCAATTAATACATTTATTAATAAATATTGCATATAAAAAACAGAATATACAATCTACTTTTACATAATTAATTTAATTTAACTTAATAATGTTCCCATGGTTTTTCTGGTCTTTCTCGATCCCAAGGATGAGGGGATTTATAACGAGGATATTCTTCTAAGCGTACTCCACTTTTTATTAAGTTTTGTAGTAATGCTTCAAGCTGTAATTGAAATTTATAAAAAATTATAACGATTGATACAGCAATTATTATGAGTAAAATTAATTAAAAATTAAATTGATATGACAGATAAAAATGTAAAAACTTACTTTACTACCAGGTAGGGCTTCATATGTGTTTATCATATCAAAAATACCACTTTCTAAACAACGTTGAGCTAGAACTTTTCCAATTGTTATATATGCCATTTTATCTAAAGTGCTAAAAATATTAAATAGGTACATATAAGATGTTATTAACAATATTAAACAGATAATAAAACCAATTATGAAATAATCCCAGTCAATTGATGCACTATGGGCATTACTATACAGAATGGGTAAAATTTATTGAGATGAATTGAAATAAATTAATGTATACTACTCAGACGAATGTTAAATAAATTGTTGTTTTACTCTTGCAATTAATTATGTTTCATAAATACTAAATACAACTTAAGTGAGATACTTGCACAATTGTTTTAACATTAGCTTGAACATATAATGGCATTACCGAGTACTTAATTTAAAAAATAAACAAACCTAAAAAGCTGTTTACGTATAGCCCATTCAGCAGTGGTTGCCAGTATTGGAACCATACCAGTATGGTGTAAAACACTAGCTGTCACATGTCTTTTACTTGTAGTCACTTGTAATCTGTGAACAAATTTTAGAAAAATATTAATCTCCTTCAATAAGACATTTGACATAATGTTTAACACTTACTTATGCCAAAATTCACGACCGGGTTTATCAAGATGATAGCCAGCTGGTTTATATGCGATTCTCAACTTTTCCAAATTTCTAGGGTTGCGATTGTAAACAAATTGAGCGTAGGAAGGTGAATCCTCAGTTGATGCGCTACTACTGTACCTTGTAATATTTGATATATTGATTGCATTACGTATTAAATTTTTCGATGTCCCACAGACATACATTTTTACAAATTAAAATTATTCAAACCAACTTAATTACATTAAACGTGAATAAAAAATTATCATTCGGCTTACATCCAGATTTAAAATCTAGTATTCATGATAACAACATGAGGCATTAACATAATATATCGGAGATTTGATAAAATTAAAAATAATACGAATGGATGTTCACGGGAAAAAATGTTTTGTGTCCGTATTTAACATTGCCTACATTTAGCCCCGTTTTTGCAGCTATCAAAATGTGATAACATTGATAAAACAATAACATAATTTTTATTATAATAATTTTATATATTACTAAATTTAAATTAAAATAGTTAAATACAATACTAGTTAAATAAATTTAATAATACACATTTCGAAAAAAACACAATATTTACTTACGATTGTCATTTAAAAGGTACAATTCAAAAGTAATAAAAATATAAAATTTTTATTACTCTCATATTTTTCCGTACCTCTAAGTTCAAAGTACCATATTTTAATCTTTATTGAACGAGAACAATGAATTAATTGTAAGATACATCAATACTAAATAATGACACCAAAATGAAATTGGTAAATTAAGGTTTACTACAGCTGATAGAGCAGAATTGGCAGGTAGCTTATTTTATTTTATGTAATATTATGCTACCATCCATACTGGTTCCTATTCAAAGAGTATTAAATGATGTCCAATATTCTGTAACAACATTGAAATGTTTATAGTATGAGTATTATGGGCCAAATAGTTGGTAAAATGTATTAATAATTCAATTTTATATTTTAAATATTGTGCAATATGATTTTGCCACAAATTTAGGAAAAGATGATTTTTGTATTTAGAAATGACTAAATCTGTGTTCATGGGACCCATGGTTTAAACTTTAAACAGTTAGGTACGCTTTTATTATAAAAATACAAAATATTAAACCTAATTATAACATTTGTATTAAATTTTCGCCTGAAGTATTCGTAATGAATTGTATACTTTTAAATTACGATATTGTGTTTTTTTTTTCGAATCGTGTATTATTAAATTTATTTAACTATTAATGTATTTAACTATTTTAATTTAAATTTAGCAATATATAAAACTATTATAATAAAAATGATGTTATCGTTTTATTAATGTTATCACATTTTGAAAGCTGCAAAAAAAGGGGCTAAATGTAGGCAATATTATATACGGACATAAACATTTTTTTTCCTGTGAAGATCCATTCATAAAATAATAAATTGTATCAAAGATTGATAACACCAGATCATGGTTTAAAACACGTGGTGTATACTACATATCTTAAACCATGGACCAAATGGTGCATTGTGTGTGATAATATACGTATACACACGATTACAGATATATATCTTAATTATGTGTAGAGATAGGACTTATCGTTCATTAAGGTGAACTAGTTCAGTCGTTCATATATTTGGCGATTCGTTCGTATGAATACGTACTTCTTATCAAAGAATTGTTCATGAACGAACTAGTTCAATAATTATTACTCCGTATCAACGAATCGTTCATGATCGATTAAGGTACTAGCTCGTGAAGTGAACGGTGAACGATTCGTTCATCAAAAGTGAACTAGTACGAAACCGGTCACTTGGGTGAATTGTTCAATTAACCTAGTTCGTTCATGAACGACACATCTGTATTATATGATTCATGTCAGTGGCGTATACAAGGGGGGTGTTTGGTAGATATGACACCCCCCTTGAGCCGTATCATATATTACATTACTATAGGAATATAGGTAAATCGATAATACAATATGAAATATAAAATAATGCACAATACTAATTACATATATGCAGGTTAACATTATCGCGATTGCGACAATACGTGACGAAAATTATTCGTTTACGTTTTCGTGCAACACAAAATAATAATAGGTATTGTAGCATCGAATACTGATATTCGAATAATTTATGGTAAAGCTATCCAAATTCGAATATACATTACATCTCTATTACAGACATAATGTATACATATTAATTAATTAAAATAAAAGTTTTAGTTTGTATATATTATATATAATATTTAATAATTATAATTAACACCCCCTTCAGAAAATCCTAGATACGCCACTGATTTATGTGTTTACATCACGGCCACAGATTAAATGAATATAAAATAATAAATATAATTCATATAATCTATTTCACGGCTATAGATAATATTATATTAATTACTATATATACTATATTTAGTTATTTAATATATATTGTTCTCATTGGCGCAATTAGAGTAAATAATATAGGGGGGGCTTCAGCCTCTTAAAATAAAGGGATTATTAAAATGTTTGTTTGAAACTTAAAAATAAAAAAAATTTCATATTTTCAGTAGTAATCACATACGTTTTATTTTATTTATCAATATTATAATATAAAGTTTTGCATGGTTTTTGGGGGAGCTTTGAATATTTTTGAGGGGGCTTAGCCCCTCCTGCCACCTAATTGCGCATATGATTGTTCTGTGCTATAGCTGTGGTGTTAAGCATGGACAAATATCATATGAGGATCGAGAGATGAATATTGTTTTTTATCTTAATGCATGTAGTAGCACAGAATATATGAAACGTTTCATATATTCTGTGGAAGTAGTTCATGGTGATAACCACGGTTTAAGATACATATCTTAAACCGTGGTGATAACAAACTTAAGATGATAAGAAAACCATGATAATGAGCTTCGAAATATAGTTCGCATTGCTCCTGCGATCCTCTCTTCAAATATATAATTTTAGAATTTCAGGTACTCTATGTGAAGTGCGATTATGAAATATCGTTGATTATTTTGATAACTGAACACTGAGTGTCTGAGATAATAGATTTTTGGTAAAGTTGGAAGTATTCAGCTAAGAAGATTAAAATTGTAAATATTAACTAATCATATTTTATTTATCAAATAATTAAAATCATCCCTTACGATTTAGTCTATAATTAAATTTAAATTGTGAATCATTCATTTAATTTTTTAACATTAATATTTTCGTATATATAATTAGTATAATGGATACAACATTTCTACCGGAATCTTTACAGCTTTTGGTAAAAAATTGGATGTTGTGGAATCAAGTAGGGGCTTTAAAAAAATATGTTAATTGTATAGTGAACTTATTTTATTGTAATTTTCAGTCACAGCAATATTCTGTAGAATTGGAGGAGCTTTTGAAAAATAGGAATGTGGATAAAATTAAAACTATGTTTGATGGTCGTCTGTCGTTTGGAACAGCTGGTTTAAGAGCAGCAATGGCACCTGGTTTTAAGCGTATGAATGATCTAGTTGTCATACAAAGTGCACAAGGGATTTTTCATTATATGCATAGTGTTTTTGGAAGTTCATTAAACACATCTGGTGTGATTGTCGGATTTGATGGAAGATTCAATAGCAAAAGGTTGTGGAGTAGAAATAAATTGTTGCATTATGTTAATATTATTTCAATATTTAATTTGTTTAGGTTTGCAGAATTAACATCAAGTGTATTCTTAAAACATTCCATCAAAGTTTATCTCATTAATGAAGTTTGCCCAACTCCGTTTGTAGCTTATGGTATTAAACAATATAAATGTTGTGGCGGAATAATGGTAACCGCATCACATAATCCCAAAGAAGACAATGGTTATAAAGTACTATGGAATAACGGTGCTCAAGTTAGTAAGTTTTAAGAAATAATAGTGATTCTGTATTACTAGCGAATTATAAATTAATATACATTTAATCCTATTACAGATTATTTTCCCAGATGATAAAAATATTCAAAAGAGTATTATTGAACACTTAATGCCTGAAGATGGAGTTTGGAATACTGAAGAAATTTATAGTAACACCTTATTGATAAATCCATTGATTGATCTTCAAAAACGTTACAACAGTTTTATTGATGGATTATTATTTCCAAATTTGGAAAAAAAGAAAACAAATATAATTTTTACTTATACACCTATGCATGGTGTTGGTTATCCTTATATAAGAAATGTATTTGAGAGTGCAAAATTCAATGTAAGTATTTATTAGATTAAAATCAACTGATTCTTATTATAATTCATTAAAAATAATTATGGAAAAATTATTTAGATTTATTAAGTTTAAACTTTGTTATGTTTAGCCTGTAATAGTTGTTGAGCAACAAAAAGATCCAAATCCAGAATTCCCTACTGTACCCTTTCCAAACCCAGAAGAAGGCAAAAGTGCATTAAAACTTGCCATAGAAACAGCTGAAAACAATGGAAGCCGAATTATACTTGCTAATGATCCTGATGCTGATCGATTGGCTGTGGCTGAACATCCGTAAAATAATTTTACATATGAAATTACTAATTTGGGTTACCAATCAAATATTATTTTCATAGCAAGTCCAGAATTATATATATGGCATTCTACATAGGATGTCAGCTGGTACTCGGTAGAAACCTTAATTGATTTAAGTCTGATATTTTTATTAGTAAATTAATGGACCATTATTATAATTATCAAAATTAATTTAAATTAGGCTGTATCAAAGCTTTGATGTTTTGAAATAATGGTTTTATTTATAAATCATTGATTTTTGTATAAATAAAAATATATCGATACTTATTTTCAATTTTTTAATTTAAATTTCATAAAAATCAAGTTAAAAATTACTGTTAGGATTTTGTTTGAGTGTAGGATTTACGTATTAATTATTTATTTATTTTTTATGCATTGTTATATTTCTTTTTATAAGTACCTGAAATGAGAATAGGATAGCTCTATACAGAAAATTTGATATTAATGTGTAATTTGTTATTGCTTTTATTTATAGGATAGGTAGTGAGGGTTGGAAAATATTCACAGGTAATGAATTAGGAGCTTTATTAGGATGGTGGATGATACACTCATATAAAAAAATCCATGGTAAAACAAATTCTAAATTAGTTGTACTTTCAAGTACAGTATCATCTGCAATACTTAAATCTATGGCTAAATTAGAAGGAATTAGATTTGAAGTAAGTACTTTTAACATTTAAATATTCATGTGCATTAATATTTATCAATTACTAGGAGACACTCACAGGATTTAAGTGGATGGGTAATCGTGCTGATCAGCTTGCTGCTGAAGGATATAAAGTAATTTATGCCTTTGAAGAGTCTATTGGTTATATGTGTGGAAGTGAAGTTTTGGATAAGGATGGCATATCTGCAGCTGTTAAAATTGCAGAACTAGCGATTTATTTAGAAAAAGAAAATAGTACATTGTCCTCAGCTTTAGAATCGATATATAACCAGTAAAATTAAATTTTTGATCCTATATTTATTTTATGATACAACCATTTTATCTTATAGGTATGGTTGGCATTTATCTATTAACTCATATTTCATATGCAATGATAGTCTGACAATAAAAAAAATATTTGAATCATTAAGAAGAGTTAATAATCAGCAATGCAATGTATAACTTTGTAATTACATATCAGTTATATAGCCTAAGTTTTATCAAAATTGTTTACTTTTTCATTTTAGTATCCAAAATCGATCCTTGGTGGACGATATTTAATCAAATCTGTTCGGGATTTGACAATTGGCTATGATTCTAATACAATAGATAACAAACCATTATTACCCATATCAAAATCTTCTCAAATGATAACATTTACATTTGATAATGGTTTAATTACTACATTACGAACAAGTGGAACAGAACCCAAAATAAAATATTATGCTGAATTATGTAGTGATCCTGAAAATTCCTCGTAAGTATCTATAAATGTATTCTTATTTAAACTATGTTAATATTTGTTGTAAATTATTAATAATTTTGAATGTTTACATTTTAATGATTGAACGTAATTTATTTTAGGGATGTTAACAAACTGAAATGTGTTTTAAATGAAATGGTTGAAGCAATAATCGAAGAATTTTTAAAACCACATGAAAATTCTCTTATTTTTCGTTGCAATTAGCTAAAAAATAATGTAACTTTGCTCATTTTAATAATATAGGTAACTCCAAACCATTTGTGTTTAAAGATGTTTTTAAATGTAAGCATTGATTAAATATACATATTTATGTATATTTAATCAATGATGTAAGTAACTTTTTCATTCAGTTGTACATGGTAATGTACTTTCAGTTTTTTAGTACTGTTAAGTTTATATACTAATTTGTTCTTTATCAGAATGGATAGTTTAAATTATGACTTGGCAATTGCAAGTGAAATTTTTATTTCATTGACTACAAATCAAATACTAAAGAAAAGAAAATCACAATGATGAAGTACTTGGTAGAATATTAGAAATATGTGAGTATAGTATAATTTTAAAACATTCTAAAATTTACTTTTATTTATATTTTTCAGACCCAGTGATAGTAAACTATTTAATTACTGGTTTTACTAGTGTTTGGAAAATTTTAATATTTTTGTCAGATTTGGAGTATTTGCCTATTTATCTTTAAACATGATATGTATTTGTTTAGAATACCTATATAATATGAATAGTGTGGAACTACTTTATATTAATTTTACAATAAATAGTATAAATTAAATTTGAATATCATAAACTCTTTTGGTTGTTATAAATAAATATAGACTGATGTGCAATAAAATAATTTAAAATAGTAAATATTTATAAATATTTAAATCATTCCTGTGAAAATAATATAAGAGTTATTCATATTCTTGATTTATTAATAATAAATAAACATGTATTTAGTAAATGTATGAATATGTATTTTGAAATTAACGACAACTTGCCATAACACCCAATATATTTTCATAATCAATTTTTTCTGTAATATTCTTAGTTTTGATGTTTTCATCTTGATTTGAAACAAATATATATTTGTTATCCACTGCCTTCCAATTGTATTTCTGCATCCATTGATTTAAAACTGCATCTGTTCAAAATTATGAAGATATGAAATTCAATTTCAATTATAATTTAATTAAGTATTACATACCATCAACACCTCCAAGTAATTCCATAAGAAAGTGTTTTTCAACAGATTGGAATGTAATACCAATGACATGGCAAACAAATTTACGCACAGAATCCAAAAATCCATTGACTTTAACATAAAGTTCAGGCATAGCATGAACTTGGTACCAAAATTCTTTAAAATTACAGTTTTCCAACAGATCAGCCAAAGTTAATACTTGACTTAATGGAGCTTCTTGGCACTATTATATAATGAAAAATAAAATTATCAAACCATGTTTAAAATAAAATATAAATTAAAATGTACGATTAAATGGGTTAAAGGATAACAGAAATATTTTATCCAAGATGAAGTAACTTTAATTAAAGATGGACAAATTTAACTATCATGCAACATAACTTACCAGTTTCTCATTCAATAGACATTTGCAGAGTACGAAATCAGAATGAGGGAAGTTAGTAATGGCTTTCAACATTATTTGGACAGTGATATCTAAATTATAATCGTGATGAAACTGATAGATCTTCAGTACAGCAAGATTAGCTTCAAGATCGTAGATGTTCTCTTGGGACTGTACTTCTACATACTGTTCGAGTGTAGACAAATGTTGAGGATTGTATCTAAAGGGAAGAAAACAATGATACATGGCGTATAATAGAAATACGTGCTGGGCCCACAGAATACAAACCTTTCAATGCCCTGCAGAAGGGACGCAACAGTTCGTCTCATTGCTTCGGCCATAGTTTGGTTGAAAATCGAAAACGGAAAACGATCGAAGGTATCTTAATTAAACTTTATAATTCGAGTTCAGTCGTTAAGTCGGCAGCAGCAAGCACGCGTCACATGGAAATAATTTAATGTTATAATGTAGTGGGCGACACAATCTACACAGTCGTACGACTTTTTTTATTGGTGTTCGCAAGCCGTCTCTGATAAGCGAATGGTAAATGCAACGCAAACGGTGTAGACAACGTACGTGCAGCAATGTGATGATGAACCATGACTACCGGCCGCACTGTACCTTATCAAATCATAGTATCTACTAATCATTATCCGCTATCAGATTTGAAATCATTTGAAAATGTGTAACTATAAACAAATATATGACAGTAATATAACTTACTCAATTGTGTGAAATTTCTCAAACCTAACTTAATATCTCCGCGTATAATTCAACTTTGTGGTTTTCAACATAATTTTGGATTGAACTGCATTGTTAAGTGGTAAGTATTACCACAGGGAATCTGAAAATACAATCGAGCATTTTTCGACCTTGGAATTAAAAATTGAAGTTCAATAATTATTTTGACACGATCACTCAGGAACGGTGCTGAGATTTTTCGTCTGACTATTTTTATTTTTTGTGTGGAGGGTCAAAAAGTTAAAAATAATAATTTTGTATATATGAAATATTTTATCTATTACACGCAGTGCTTGACTTGGAAAAATTAAAGAAGGGGGACTCTATTTACTTTAAAAAAAGAACTTCCTTAAAACTGGCTGAGCGTTATGATTATAGCATAAAAATAGTAGGGGGACGCTAACCTTTCTGATAATTAGTTGGGGTACTCCGTCCCCTCTCAAGTCGAACACTGATTACACGTCTATGAGCTTATAAGTATAAAAATATATTGATGCTATATAAATTTCACTCTAGTATTTTCGTCATTTCGGCATTGGCAAATATTTTATTATTTGCTTAAAAATAATACTTGTACATAACTCAAGAAATGTCAGTAGGTTCCTACCTATTTGTCTAGTTGAATTAATTTAATATTATTGAAAAAATATGAAAACATTTATTTTAGCAATTTGTAATTTCTTATCTATGATTTAAATTTTTTAACCTCATTATAATTTTTTTAGTATCTAGATGTTTTATATCAGTGTAACTAAGAATATCTACTTAATTATTTCAATCCAGGAATGTTATTTATTTATTTATTTGTTCAAAAGTTTGTTTATATCTTGACCAACAACACCATTGCAAGTAAAATATTTGGTCCATCTTACGGGTTTTCCTGAATCAATGCTCAATTGTAGTATAAGAAAACTTAGTGTAAATTCTATAGGCAATACATTGTCAGACTTCATTCTGTGTGATGTCACAAATTGGTTCAAACAATTAACTATCTATATAATCAATTAGATCTAATCCAGTTCTAGTCATCAGCTTCTTAGAACATGCGAATATATTTTGATCCATTTTGAAATAGCTGTTTTTTTTCTAATTTTAGGATTCGGAAGTTTAATCCATTTATATTCGGTGTTAAGAATTGTTTTCATTACCTGTAGGCATGTCTTGAAAATATAATTTTCTTCAATTTCACGTTTTTATGTGATTTAAATTTTAAATATTCTTAGTATCTGCGAATTGTAATTTTTTTTTAATTTAGAACAAAAAACTTTGAATTGGATAGAAATATTGATGGATAAAATTTAGATGAAAAATTTATTAACGATTTAGTTTTAAAAACTTTGTTGTTATAAAATGTAGTTTATAGATTAGTTGATTATTTTGTATTCATAGATCCTACTCTTATCTCTTCATTTAGTTAACGTATTATTTTATATATTGGTTTATGTTCTGCCATAAGCCGCCCCACACACATTTTTCAGGTGTAATCACTTTTTTCTTAAACTTAAATTAGTATAAGATGTTTAATGCACCTATTTATTTATATTTTTATCTATTTATTATTTTAGAAAATGACAGATTTACAAACATCTGGTATATTAGCAAAAGAATGTTTAAGAACACAAATTTGTGGTAAGCACATTAAGTTTTAAAAAATTAGATTATTTAATATTGTATACTCCTGTTAATTATTAAATAGGTGAAGGTGAATGGCCAAAAAATACAGTTTTATATCAGCCTTATGAAACAGAACAAATTCTTTTACCAGACAACTCAAAATGTTTGTCAGTAAAAACTTTTTTAAAGATGGCTGATTTGGAGTTTATTGTAGAAGCAAGAGAAAATGCTGAATATATGTCTCCACATCGAGGTAAAGTGCCATTTATAAAAGCTGGCCAGTTTTTAGTTGCTGATTTTGAACCAATTGTTAATTTTGCCCAGTCTAAAGTAAGATAAACAATTTTAAAATAATTCAAATTACTTGAACTGTTAATTTTTTAAAGGGTTATTCTCTGTCTTCAAATCTTGATGAACATCAGAAATGGGATCTTAGAGTATATATGGCTTTAGTGAATAATGTTCTTCTGAATGCAGAAGTTTGTATAAATATTACATTTTAAAATTTTGATAATAATTTCAACTTTGTTTAGATATATGTGACATGGAAACATGAACCAACTTATAATGACCTCACCAAACCAAGATACGGTTCTGTGTATTCTTTTCCTCTGAACCATTGGGCCACTTATTATAAACGATGTGAAATGTTATCACATTTAGATGTACTAGACTGGAAAAAAAAATCTTTGGATGAAGTATTTAAAGAAGTAGAAAAGATCTGTGAATCATTGTCAAACTTTTTAGGAGACAAAAAATATTTTTTTAATGAAAAGTATAGCATTAATTAAATATTTATGAATGATTCATATTATTGGGTAAATATTTTTCAGGCCAACCGAACTAGATGCTTTAGTGTTTGGACATTTATTTTCCATTATAACAACACCATTACTCAATAACCGTTTTGCTGCTATTATTCGAGCTTATGACAATCTAGTTCAATTATGTGTTCGTATAGAAACAGAATTTTACCAATCTAGATTTCTATGATAGAATTATTTAAATAGTTTATCAAATATTGGTTAGTTACTGTTAATATTATTTAATTAATGTAAATCATTAACTAAATATTTGTATGGGTTGTATAGAATTGTATCAAATTATTCATATGATTTAATAACATTAAGAAGTATTAAAAAAAAATTATAAGATAGTTAGATATATACACTTAAAATAAAGTTAACATGGAATATTGTTTGATTGAGTGTTATTTAAATACATTTCAAATACTACCATTTTTTAAGAATTTAGATTAGATATTTGTTATAATTAAATAAAAACACATACAATTTAAAGCACAATGTCATCATTTTTATTTTATCAAGAATAGGTATAATTATTGTAATTAAACAATAATAATAACACACACAAAAAAAAAAAAAAAAAAAAAAAAAGAAGCAAAATAAATAAAAAATAAATGGTGGATAATCAATTAGAATAAATAATACCCAATTTCTAAATACATTTTCATTCAGATTTTTCATAGCAAATAATTATAACAAGCTTAACGTTTTCATATAATACAGAAAACTTAACCAAATACTGAAACAATTAATTACCAAAAATAAAATATTTCCAAGAACAAAACAATCTTCATAATTTTTAACACTTTACAACTAATATATTAAAAATTGCAAAATTAATCGAAATTGTATGTAATACTTATAATTATTATCAATAATGGGGCACTAGACAGTGTGATGTACATTTATAAATTATATATATAAAATAAACATTTTACTACATTTAAAATAATGCATTATGTATTTATATTGCTGAATTGGAACATACAAACTAACATTTTTTTTGACTATAAGAAAACAAAAATAAATAATCGCTTATAATTATAACACAATTTGTTATCAATACTTAATTTTTAGATTCACAATAACCCTTTTAATTATTAAAGGAAGACAATATTAAAATGTTGGATAATTTATTAATGATCACAACTAAATAACGTTTTAATAAATGTATCTTAAGAAAAGAATACTGTATACAATATGTCTTAAACAGAAAAATTTTGTAGTTTTACCAAAATATTATAATTATGTACATATTACTACTCATATGATTTTTTTAAATTATATGTTATGTGAAATTGTATAAATGATATGATAAATCATGTAAAAGGAAAAATTTGGCCATCAATATTCATGATATTATTAACAATTGCATAAAATAAACATATCATATATGTATAAAGCAGTTTCTGAATGACATTAATGAGTTAAGTACTTAAGCCTGAAATTAATATTTTTAAATTTTGGTTTGTAAAATAAAATAATACATTGAGATCTTTTTTTACTTTTTACTACAAATTTATACCATTTAAAACCATTAAAAGAACTAAATGTTATAAAACATCTATTATAATTTAAAATAAGTTTTTTCATAATAAATCTGGTTAATTATTTATTTTTATACATCATTATTATTAGTTATTCAACAGGTAACTAAACTACTAGTTATTTTGTTCTCAAACAGACTAAACATAAAATATAATATTATCTTTTAGATTTGATGATTATAATGTTGATGACTGTGTTTTCATAATATAAAATAAAAATGTACTTAGATACATAAATATAAAAAAAAAATTATTTATTATTTTTTCATGATACTTAATTTAAAATAAATAAATTATATATTATGGTTTATATAATAATGCATGGTTTTATATTTATATACAACAGTTGTTTTAATAATAACAACTCTAATGTACTAATATAAAATATACTTATTATGAAAATATGTAAATATTGAAAACTGTCAGAAAAATATTACCGTAAACAAATCATGGAAGTTTGTATTAAAATACATGATAAAATCAAATTTCAACAAGCAGTTATGTATTTTATATGTATGATATACACAATATGAAATTGCTTATACAAAAATGTAATAATATTATGGATATGCATGTCTATTAGTAAAAGTCATTATATATTAGGCCAAATTAAAATGCTATTCATTTTTTAAAACAAATTAAAATTAATTACTTTATTAACTAGATTTTATTAACCTACAGCTATATGCCATGAAATAAAACATTTAAACAACTTCAACAATTTATTTTCTTAAATAAAAGTATTATTTTTCTTTTACAATTATTGGTAAACAAAATACTTTGAAAAACTAGGTAAACACTAATAGCAAGGACTAGGTTCAAGAAAGTATACAAAAATATATATTTATTTAAAATTAAGTATTATCATTGAAAATTTAATTGTCATTGATAAATACAAAAGGCCGATGGTTTATTTTTATAATAAGGTAGAAAAAATAATAATAAAAATATATCAAGTATTGGTATAACAAGATTAAAATAAAAGCTAAAGACTGGGGATTGTAAGACATTTATATAAATGAGCTTGAGTGTTTGACTAGTTTCAGTTAAATTTAAGAGTTGTTTTAAAATTAATTATCGACATAGAAAAGACAAAATTTTTATTATAAAAAATTGAATTGATTTGAATGTATAAAAACTAAAAATATCAGTGTAAAATAATAACCAAAATTATAAGAATCCTTAAAATTATTTTTTAAAGATTTAAAGCATAGAAGAAAAGAAGATGCATTCACATAAAATCACATTTTGATAAAGAACGACAAGTAGGACTCTAAAAATGTTTTAAATACAAATAATAAAATAGTTATTTCATTATCACAGGTTACTAAACCCTTACAAATATGGTGATCTTATTAATTCCAGATCATATTTTAAGATTGCTTATAGCTATAAATATGTTATAATTTACATCATAATATAATGCATATCCAAACCCTGTAATATTAAAACTAATATGGGAATGATTATTTTTTAGACTCTTAACTACAAATAACTGGTATATTAATTACTAAAGACAATTTGGGAACTTATTGGCAAGATTAATTACAAAGTAAAATGTAGTAAAAATTTGGTGGCAACATAAAAACATATATTTAAAAACTATAACATTTTGTAATGCAGGAAATCCAGTATTTAATCAAAAATAAAAATAGAAGAATAATCATACACTTATAATTTTATGATTTCTTAAAGTTTTATTGAATTTAGTTTTAAGGTACCTATTTTTAGTGTTAATTAGGGATAATATTATAGGTATTCATAAGTAACACTAAGATATATGTTTGTAAATATATGCAAATACATATTTAGAAAACTTTTAACAACGAATATATTGTTCAATGTATCTATTAATGTAATGAATAAAATCTAACTTTATAGTTAAAATTCAGCAGTACATATATATATATATATTAACATAATTGATTAAATTTTAACAGACAGCTAAAGATAAATATAATTTAAGATCATTAAAATAATTTTTTATTTAAATTGCATTTTAACTTGATTTTTTATTATTATATAAACTCGTTTGATAATTAGTGTAATGATATAGTATATTGTAAAGCTATAAAGTTAAATTAAATTAAGAATTAGTACATTTTTAAAATATGAAATATTATTAGATTTTAATGCTGCAGATATAAAAAATAAGAAATATTATTACAGTACTGATATAATCACTTTAAATGGTGACTGATATTTTTCTAAAAAAAATTTCAAAAGAAAAACAGTATATGCAAAAAAAAAAAAGGTTTTTAGTAGCATGTTTGGTAGATGACTAAACAAAATATCAACATACTTATGTGATAATATGATCAATAAATTCACAATTATTAAAATTGATATAAATAATATAATTTATTTTTAACAAAAAGAGTCTTAAAGGTTAATTTTAGTAAATTATCATTTCTTCATAATTACTAGTTTTTTGATTTTTGAAAAATTATAATTCCATACAAATTTATTAAAATTCTCAACAAATGACATTTTTAAAACACAAATATAAATAAAAGAAATTTATGCAAACTTAAAGAGTTTACTAATAATTGTAAAACAAATAATTTCTCATAATTAAATAAATCTAAAATGTGATTTTTTTAATGTTTAATTAATTTAATTGAAATAAAAAATAAAATTAAGTTTAAGGGAGATTATATCTTCAAAGGTACTGAACATTTATGAAAAAACTACTAAAAATAAATCTTTTGAACTCTGATCATAATTAGTAGGCATACTTTAAAATATTTCCTCATGAAACAAGAAGTACTGCACTTAACTAATTAATGCGTTACTATGAATGAGAGAAAAAGATAAGTTTCCAAAATAATAATTTACTTTGTTAACTGATAATGCAATAACACTTAAATTTAATTTTTATTGTTGATTTGTCCAGATATTCATTCTATCTCAATTTAACTGTATATAAAAATAGCACAGTTTATACCTATGGGTTGTATAAGAGTAATTTGACACGTAAAATAGAAAGTCAAATAATATCTACATTTTAAATTATACTTATTTAGGACACAACTAATTTTAAATTTAATATTTTTAAAAAATGGTAACACTAATTAATCACTTTGTCAAATTCAACAATTTTATTATAAACTAAACTTGTATATAATTATAATTGTTAATAATACTGCTTATATTATATAAAAACCTACAAATATATATTACGGGAAATTTAGAATATAGAACAAAATATACATTGTTCAGACAAATTGATTAAACCAGAAAATGTGAACTGCATAAATATAAATATTTTTTAACTTTTATAATGGTTATTTTTTAAATTATGCTTGATGTATATTATATAATATAGTTAAATCATGACTAGTATTTTATTTATTTGCTATTATTTTACTCATATTCGAAACATTCACATTTAATGACACTATTCTACTAAATTACAAGGGGCGAGGCACAATAAATAAGGTGAATCCATAAATTAATTAATAAATAAGCTTTGCCTATGTATAACAATTTAAAACTAGTTCATAGCAAATAAATCTAGGTATTTTTAAAGTTAAGGCTATATTGAAAGATCAAATCAGGGTATAGAAAATGGTCGTAAGACAAAAAACAAAACAGAGGTTTGAAATTCATTTAACTCATGAAAATTGTGCTTATTATTATAGCATAAAAAAATTCACTGTACAAAGCAGTGTTTGCTTCACTACCTAATATAGTTTCAAAGTTAAAAACTACAGGAAAAATTTAATTAACCTTAAAATGAATTCATGTAACTAAAAACATAGAAAAAAATTAAGAAGTAATACATGAATCAGATAATGTAAATAATAAAGGTCTTAGTACTGAAAAAAATATTATATCAAGAAAAAGATAAATTAGACACTACTAATGTAACTGAATTTAAAATTCAGACTAAAAAAAAATGTTTGGAAATGTTACGATTTTGTCAGATATATCGGGAGTTAGTCAAAATTAAAGATATGGATAGTGTACATAGTGACTTGAAATATGTTTTTGGTGTGATATTCTAAGATAGAAAAAATATTTTTCTTACTAACTTAAAAATTATTATGAGTTATATTATGTAAATGAAAGACTGAAAGACCATTTACAATGGATTCTGCTTAAGGTAGACACAGGACTAAATCTATTTGTCCACATTAAACGGTGGTCATATAAACCAAACTTTATTCAAAAACACCAACATTGTTAATATAGGAAAGTTTTTATTTTGCACAAGTAAGCCATAAAATTGAAAAAAAAAGGTTAAATAGAATTAATAGACAAATAAAAATACAAAATAATAATGCATAATTTAATTTCAGGATGTATAATTTTTCAGCAATTTTACATTATAAAGTGCCCGGAAGAAGAAATTTCATTTTGTCCAAAATCGCGATTTTTTCCAAGAGGGAATAAATAGAGGTCATGACATAGTCTAACACATTCATAATCATGTTGAAATTTATGTTATAACTGAAATGATTGTTGTTGAGTTAGGAAAAGATACCTTCTTTTTTTGCTTTATATTTTATTATTATTTTTTGTATTTCTATTAATAACACTCCAATACATTAAATTAAATTCATAAAAAAATTCTCATTAAGGATTAAAATTCAATGAATTTTAACATTTATGATAAACACAATCTCATAGATATATTGAAACTTAATTGTATTAGTTTTTAATACATATTCTAACACTATGTTAAAATAAATATTGCCCACATAAATCAAACCGTGTGCCAGTACCATAACTAGACCACTCAAGGCCCATGTGCGAATCAAAACCTTCAAAGCTCTAATCAACAAATGCTTTTGAGCATATGACCTTTGAGGCCTCACAATTTGTAGTTCTAGGTGCGTAGCCAGCGTGTAATGTACCCTTTGCACATCTAGTTTTTACAGCATTGCTGTAAGCCAATATAATTCAGTTTTTTTACCATTGTATACCCTAATAAATATTGAGTTTGGGACCTGGCCATTTTTGCCAATATTAACTGGTGTCCACATCAGACAGAATCCACTGTATATGAAATCAGTACAAATGAAAAAAAACTGTGAAAACAGTACAGTAAATATAAACTAACAATTTATAAAAATAAATGTCTATAAATTAACAATGTACCAGAAAATTAAATTTTAGCAGCACAGGAATTATCCATTTGGGTAATCAGTAATACCGATATTGTACACTTTCACAATTTTACAAAACAGACGAAGCAAGAGTAGAAAAGTAAGAAAACATAGCAATTTAAAAAATAACTTCAGAAATAAATTTAATTAAAAAATATTGTCATAAAAAAATCAAATAATAATTTTCAGTAGGCACATGTAAAATATGCATTGCATGTTCATTTATCCACAGTTCAAATTTTCCTAATATAGCTAAATTACCCGTAATATATATAAAAGTATATCAAGATTAAATATCTTAAATAAGAGATTCAAAATAAAATACTGGGTCCATCTATTATGATATAGTAAGAGATATTAAAAGTAAAAGTAACATAATGGTAGTCTTTGAATAGGAAATAACCTAAATTATTTTTCAAAGAAAAAATTGCACTTACGTTCGATGTATGCCAAACATACATTTAATTATTACTTCGTCTACTTCGCCTGGACACTGGTTCAGTAGCATCTCTAGGCGCATGTCGTTTACCACCTTGAGATTGAGCACTCATTTGTAAACTGATTGCTTGAGTATTCAATTTTTTGGCAACCAGAAGATCCTTCATACTTCTCATTTTTTTACTTTTCAGTATGATTTTAGTTTCAGGTTCTTCATCTTTTAATGTTGTTTCCACAATAGGTGATTGTGGTGAAGTACTAGGAGAAGGTAATGAATCAGAACTTCCTACAAAAGGCTCTCCTCCACCTTGTAATAAAAACTCTCTATTTAGTATACGTTCACTACAAGCTGCAGTTAGTGCTTCAATGCCAGGATGAAGTTCTGATTTAGTTTCTTCAATGCAAGGTATTGGGTTCAAAACTATTTTTGACATTGGAATGTTATTGTTCATATTTTTATCATGATAATTTTGTTTTAGAGCACTGTCATTTTCTGAATCCTAAAACCAATATTTATAAATAAATAATGTAGAAAAAATATATAGTTAATTGAGTAAAAAATGATCTTACTTTTGGTTCTAAAATTATAAGTCTTGTTCTTACACTATCATCAAACTTAGATATGGAATTTATAAAATGTTTTGCCCATTTAATGTGTAATACTGGTGTTGTTCCATCTTCTTCCCAAAGACAAAGACCATCATAAATTAATAACACATATGCATAACATTGTGGATTATTCAAAATTGATCGACTTTTACCACATGTCATTTCTTTCAATGAATATGGTATCAATTCATAAGCAATGTCCATCATTTCCTTATATAATTCTTCATCATCTTTACTAAAACTATACCTGGAAATCAATAAAAATGTTCAAGTAAACTCAATTTATATATTTTTAATTGAGTAAAAGTATGTTTAAAATGTATCTTACTTGCTTATAACTTGACTAGCATTGGCCCAACTCGCAAAAGCATCTTTTATCAAGTTATGCCTATAGAAATATCCACCTTGATAAGTGTATGGATAAACAAACATATCATTATAATACATTTGAGCTGCTGAAATAGCTTCCTCAAATAGGGCTGTACAAGGGGGCCTTCCAGGTGTTGCATTTAATTCTTCCAAATCACCCAAGTTACCTTAATAACCATTTATAAGCTAAATTATTCATTTATCTGCTAAATAATTAAAATTACCTAAGGCAAGAGGAAATTTTGACAAGTGGCCTTCATCATAAAGAAGCCACAAAAGATTTTTTTGAAGAGTTGCAACTTCCAGAGCATCACTAGATTGATTAATACTTGGATTAATAGAGCTTACTAGTGCAGATACTTCCATATGTCTATTACATATTACTGGATGACCATTAACATAAAGCCATGACCCATGCCCAGGTCCAGAATCTTTAATTTTTTGTCCACGTTTATCTTCATTTCCCTTTCCTAAAATGTAATACTTAATCAATACAATTAATCTATACAAGACTATAGTACCTAATTATTGGGTTGCTTTTTATTGTGTACACAGTCTTCTGCATGAATCTACAATAATAGCTCAAAATGATATTTCAACCAAAACCGAATAAAAAGGGATGACAATATTATAATTTTTAAAATTAAAATAAAATTTAAAGATAGTTTTAATATTAAAAAGTAATAGAAATTGACAATATAGTAATTGTTTTAATTAAAAAATCAAAATTGATTAAAAAAAATAAAGAATATTAATGTAATAGGTAGATAGTATAATGAAAATTACCATGCCATGTAACTTCTGCATTTTCACTACCATCTGGACCAAATACAACCCATGCGTGGTCTTCAGACAAAGCCAAATGGACATCATTATAACCGAGTATTTGACAAGCAGCAACTACAGCAAACGCAACACCGAAACAATCCAATTTGGAACCTATACAAAAATATTTTACATAATAATACATAATATCGTTAATGATATTACATATTTATAAAGGTTTCCACCTACCAGTTAAATAGCTATACATGCTTTGCAAGTGTGCTCTGTCCTTATAGTAACTCCTGGTCAAAGTGTTCCAAATGACATCGGACACTCGTTTCACGAGCTCTCGGCTGGCATGCCCATCTTGCTCATCAAACTTTAACAGATCTACACTGCTCTTGATGACTGAATAGAACTTGGTGTAGAGGGCTTCTATAATGTGTAACTCGACATCAGGCAGTCTCAGTGGTACCTGATCAAAGTCGAAGGTCGTCTCTGCTGTGACAGCTACAGGCACTTCAATGCTTGGCCGGACGCAGGTCATGGTGTTCTCGATGGCACCGGCTACCAGTGACAGCAGCAACAGGTCTGGTTCTTTTTTGTCCAGTTCCCTGCGGAAGACGGTGACCACTGTGGGTATGTCGCGGATCGGAAACAACTCGGCGTGCTCTTTGAATATCTTCAGGGACATGGCGAGGCAGACAGGGGTAACTATACTCACACGCACACACACGAGCATACACGCACTACCTACACTATTGTGACTGTTAAAAATACTACGTGAACCGTAGAGCGCGGTATTTGAGCGCGTGCCGACCGTATGCCTAGACGACGATGCGCGACCCGACCGATCGCGATGACGCGACTCCTCTCTCCAGCACCGACGTGCGTTTTCGGTTTCGTGCGGTCGTTTTGTTTATGTTTACCGCGTTTTAATCTCGGACCGTGTGGATCGGCCGAATCGACGCCGGACCCACGTTTTCGCGGTGCACAACGTTGCGGATCGTTCGGCCGTCGTCCGTTACACAACACGGCACTGTACAGAAGTCTCTGCAATAGCCAACAGTGCGCGGTGGGGCCGGTACGTCGTGTACCTTTTGTTCTGTTATTGTTAACGTTATCACTTAGCGGTCGCAGTGAACGATAACCTGTGACGTAGTAAGCGCAGTGATGGTGCGTAGCAGGTTATGGAAAGGGTTCCCGGTGACGTGGTTTTTTGAAGTAATATTTGTATTTCGTTTTCAATGTGAACAATTACTATCACTTTGGTTTTTTTATTTTTATTTTTTTCCTATAATTTATTTTACCTATCTCTCTCCATAATGATTTTTCCTTATTTTGTTTTCTTGTTATAATTCCGATATTAAGTTAAGATTTTGCTATATTTTACTTATCAAAACTAGTTTACAATAAATAAATGAATAAAAACCGCAAATTCTTCGACGTTTCGAATGCGACAAAACATTTTTAAATTTTTGTTAAAGCAGGGCCGTCGAGTCACGTCAGTCCCCGTGGCAAGATTTTTCTCAGGACCCCTGTTCTTAAAATTGTTACGTATAAAAAATAAATATCGAAAATTTGTATTTTTATTTAGAAAAAATAAGCAAAAAATATTTGAATTAGGCACAATGAAATAAAAAAATATATAAATCAAATTTTTTTCGGCATTGCGTATTTGTCTATGTTGACTTTCTAGGAAATTATTAACGACAGATCGGTGGGCTTGATACACCATTATGATCTTTAGAGACAATTCAGAGGTCTGAGTTATTGCCTCGATTCTATCTTACTGAGTGAAAAGTAAGTCTATCGTGGCTTTTGATATTCCGTCGGAAGATAATTAGCTGATGGCTAATATCTCGGGTCAGAGAGCCCTGAAAAGAGCTGTGTGTTGTTAATTTTAATGTTGGTATTTTTGCTCATAATTGCTGCGAGGTCAGAAAGACAGTACAGAAGTCGGTTTTGGTAAATGTTTAGCAGTCTAGGACGTTGCCCGGGATACACTGTGAAAAAGCTTTATACTTCAGAAATAAAATAATGCAGAAAACATTGGAATAATTTAATTTGGAAATCATAATCAGTTTGTATAAAATATAAATGTATTATACATACAACACACATACACGGATGCATTAGGCATACATACGTACATATATCCATATATCCAATGTTACTTTGATAATTTTTATGTTAAAACGTAATCGGGATTATTATGTATTTAACATATTTTTCTCCTTTAGTAGTAATTGCAGAACTTGATTACGATAGACTTCTCTAAAAAATGTGCTTAAAATGTCATCTACTCGTAATTTATTAGAATTACTAAATATTTGCAATGAAAATGACTTTCCAAATGTCTACAAATTTTTAAAAATGGTGTTAACTTTACCCATTTCAACAGCTAGGTACCTACTATAGAAAGGTAATTTTCGACATTTGACGATTAAAAACCTATCTCAGAAATCTTTTGATAGAGAACCGTTTAAATTGAATATTCATAGAAAAATTAAAACGAATCCAAAAGAAGTGATGAATGAATTGGCTAAGAAAAAACGAAAAAATTAATTTGGTGTTGCAATTAAAGTAGGTAAGTACCTAATAATTATTTTTATTTTAACCCTGGCAATTTAGACATTTTTTACTTTTTTTTATTATTTTTTTGTTTCTTATTCATAATAATTAATGATTAATATTGAGGTATTTAATATTTAATTAAAAGAACAATTGATAAATTAATTTTTTTTGTTATACATGCCCTTTTTTTAATTGATTTATTTAATTGATTCTACATATGTTATATTTTTACGATAAAAATAAATATTCTACGCATAATGTAAAATTTTTTTCCCACTAGTTAATAAGTTTAAATTTGCTAACCCTCCCAGTTCTTCCATGTAAATATCCTAGATACGCGTCTGACCGGTAGTATTAGAAAAAATTGTAAGAAGGTATAAACATTGGGAAATAAATTATTTGAATTGAGCTTTTTCAATTATCTAAAAGAGCGAGTGACGCTAAGGTTGTCCAATATTTGAAAAATGGATCGATTTCAGTAGAATGATTTCATCACAATTATAAATATCATGACATTTCTTCGCACACGCTTTTAATAGTTCTTCATTTGAATTAGAAAAATTCTATGAAAAAAAAAGAAATTTTCATAGGTTTCAGTAATTATTTTTAAGCGATTTGTAATACTGGCGATAATAGATTTAGAAACACATTAAACGTATACATTTTAAAATTATCTTTGAGGGAAACATTTGGAATAATCAACCTTGCTCGTCTTCCTTCAGAAAAACTGACAATCCATCCCTAATTTATAACGACTCACTCATATTTTTGAAATATTAGGCTCTGATTGCTTCGTATATTATAAGTTCACTGATTAAACTCGTAATATTATTTTATTTCACATCAATTGTCGCACCCTTAGCTTGAATCACGTTATTTTTTAAGTCAATTGTCATTAGGATTTTCAGCCATGTCGATGACATCAAAAAGAATTTTAAAGATGTAATATATTTTTTAATATCTTTCAAATCATTTATCACATTTAGATTGAGATTTGGTAAAAAAAACTCGTCCATGGCGATTACAATTCAAAGTAAATGGTCAATAAAAGGTTTCACACAGTCTACTCTGGTAGACCATCTTGTATCTAAGGTACTATGTAAGGAGCACTTAATATTCCTAAATATAAAATATTCTAACGCTGTGGGCTACTAATAAAGGTATTACAATATTTTTATATTACACCGAAAATACAAAATACTTTGAGAGTCAATTGATATTTCTAGGGTTTTTGTAATTATTTTTCTCTCTCTTTTCTTTTCTGAGCTCCTAATTTATGATTTTACGCCATTTTATAACATAATACAATATATTAAAATGAAACTGTCAATACTGACACACGATATACAAAATGCATCGCGTATGTCAGTCAATTCGACTGAAATATTTCTTATCACATCTCATCTATTCCGCAGATTACGATAAAGAAATATTTTTTGACAAGGCATAATTTCAATGAAAAAAAATAATTCGCCACTCATAAATTTAAAAACACAATCATTAAAGAAATAAATAGATACATATTTCTTGAACATGTTAACGTATTGATACAACTTACAGATTCTTATGTGCACGTTGCACCATTTTGAAAAAGGTTCTATCGAATATACGAATAAATATTGTTTTTCACCTGGGCCTTTGAGGAAGCAGGCGGGACATTTTTTGGCCAAAATGAACCTTTCCCTTTTCGGCCATTCTGTAATGTCCGTTTTTGGCTAGTACACTGTTAAGCTGTCAATTTATATAATAATCGTATAATACTTTGTAATTGTAGTTCAATGAATTCTATTACAATAATCTCTCTTCTATACGAGAAAAATAGACACACGCCAAGAGTGGTATTTAACATTTTTATACTATAGATATTCTTAAAAAAAAGATTACAATTTTTATTAATTATTCATACCAAATTAAATGTAGTAAAAAATAAGACTATAAATTGTTCTGTTTTATTTAAATTAGTAGTGTTTTACTTGTCTACAAATGTATTGATCTAATCAATGTTTAACTTTACATACATTTATTTTTGTGTACTCATATGTATATTGATATATTGATAATAAATTGTAAATAGTAAATTAAAAATTGTATTTGATTAGGTATTATACAAATTGGTAGCGTAAAAGAGAAAAACGTGAAGAATATTTTAAATTGGTAACCATAATAGTGTACTGGCCTAAAACGGAGAGTCCGGAATGGCCGAAAAGTAAATTGGCTGAAAAGGGAAAGGTTCAATTTGGCCGAAAACGGTTCCGCCCGAGGAATTCTGGACTCTGAGAACAAACACTTGAGTGCCCTACCCACTATTTGCGTCTGGATATAAGAATATAAGATAGAATACAAAATTTTTTTTTTCTAAATGGTGTGCAGAGAAGGGAACAGTGGCGCAACTTGATGATAAGGGACCCAATTGAAAATGTCCAGACTTTTATTATTATTTATTGTTATTATATTAAAAAAAATAATGTAATATGTGTATATTACGATACTATAATCTGTAATAATAGATTATAGTAGGAATATTGCAAAGAACAAAGGTAATATCAGAAAAGATTTCGGGCCCCCCCAAAACCGGAGGTTTCTGTAAATGTTAAACCCAATACTCCCGATAATTGCACCACTGGAAAGGAATCATTAAGGTTTAAGTTGCAAGCAAGAAGATAATGGCCAGTGCGTAGTCGGTTAAATTTTATTATGAGGAATCTGAATAGAGTAAAATCGTTGAATCATAATTTGTCTGGTATAACGGGAATTATAGATTTAAATCTAGTGGCGAAATTAGCGGGTAACTTGTTCAAGTAGGTAGACCAGGGTGAGAAAACATGGCGTTGAAGAATCAGTGTGAGTTATATTACTTGTATTGTTCTTTAGTCGTTGATTATTTATTAATTTAATAGATACAAAATAAGTAGTTATATAAAATCCCCTATTCTTAAGTAGTCTCCTTTTAGCTTGAGCTTAGCTATAATTATAGGTTCAAAAATATTTTATAGAGGGGTGAGGGTGCTAAAAATGATTTTTGACACCGGGCGCTAATTATGCTAGGTACGGTAGTGAACATATTATATATGTATATATTTTTTGTGTAAGTACTGTGTACAGATAATAAGTATGTAGGTACATATATGGCCAATAACGCAGTAACAAATAAACATGAGCTACATTTTAATAAAAAAACTTTGAAAGAGATAAAAAGTGAAAGACGTATTAAATTATTCAAAAACGCTTTAAATATTCAAACTTTAATCAAGCAGTGAATTGAACGCTTTGGTGTGTGCGAGTAGCGAGTATGCGCTTAGGTTAACATCAAGGCTTTGCACCCGAATCATTTATTTGGGTTTCGGGTGCTGGATGTATTCGTGTGTTCAAACACCAGAATAATAAATCTAAATAAACGTTTGGGTGTTAATAACCGTTATTATTTGGGTAATATTGGTTAATACAGGTGTTCAATAGTCTAAAAAAAAATGACAACTTTTTATTGAAAGCTTTCTCCTCTTTCCTCCACCAAAAAAAAAAAAAAAGTTAATTCGAAAAATATGATTTATGCTACATATAACTTATAAAATAGAATACACAATATTTTTTTTAGACCAAATTCGATTTATTTAAGTACAGTAGTTATAAAGAACTTTATAAAATTGTATATAGATCTGGACTTACTAGACTTGGCATTTTTTAAAAAAAAATATATATACTCACAAAAATATTCAGAAAATTCTATTTGATAAGCAAAAAAAACGGTCATCAAAAATCAAAATGTTTACAAGGTTTTCTGTGCTAAAGCCTTAAATTAGTTTACTTATTAGTGCTTGATCAAATTTAGAAGAAAAAACCAAAAATATTAAACAAAATAAGTAAATTTTGTAAAATCAATAGTAACAACAATTTAATATTTCAATTTTGCATAATAATACGTATATAACAGGAGATTCTGAAGATTGATTTTTATGATGAATTTTAATTTAAATAGTCTTTCTTTTATAGTTTTATGAAGTTTAAATCTATATAAATATTAATATAAAAAATATGTACTTACAAATTCTACGACGCATTAATAATAATAGCAACTACAATTATTGACAATTATAAAATAACTACTCAGCAACACTACAATAGTCAATAAACAAATAACTACAATCGAAATACAATTCGAGATGGCGAGATACAATTTACCGCTTACCAAGTAGACGAATATAAGTTAACTAAAATAATATTTCAAATAGGTAGGCCATAGAGGCTTAGAGCAGTAAAGTTAAAAAAGAAGTATAAATTATGATTTCGTAAGTTTCCGGGAAAATAATTTTTTTAAGTTTCATGGTGAAAAGAATTTTTCAAATAATTTATTAAATTTAGACATGCCTTTTCATTATTTTCCATAATTTTTTAATTATGAACTTATACAACATATTGTTGAACATACCAATATTTTTTAGTGTTCAAAAAAATCCAAAAAAGCGATTCAATATATCAGTTACAGATTTATCAGTATTCTAAATTTGATTTCAATAATTAATTTGCCCAATTTCAGAAGTTTTTGGAATCCAATAATTGGTAATCGAATTATTCAAGACACCATTAATTTAAATAAATTTGAACTCATTAAATAATTTTTTCATTTTAATGACAATACTAAAATGTTACCGAATGACTGCAAAAATTATGACCATCTTTATAAATTATGACCATTTTTAGATTACCTAAAAAGTTATTTTCAGTCTATTCCGTTAGAAGAAAATTTGTCCATCGACGAGCAATTTTGTCCTGCGAAAGCAAGAAGTTTTTTAAAACAGTAATTGCCGCTAAAACCATACAAGTAGGGGTACAAAATTTTCGTTATAAGTTGAATATCTGGCTTTATGTTTAATTTAAGTTTATACAGGATTGGTAAATAAATTAGAAAAATGCTTAAGTACAGAGCCTAATTTAGGAACATGCGCGAATGTTGTAATACAATTATTCAGAATTGTTCCTAAATTTTAGAACTTTAAAATATACTTTGATAATTATTATACCTCGTTACTTCTTGTTGTTTATCTAGCTAAACAAGGTGTTTGAACATTAAGAAGAAACAAGGGGATATTTCAGGGGGGGGGTTGAAGGGGGCATTCGTCCCCCATGACTCATATTTTTTTAAATATAATACCTACATTGATTCATTGAAAAAATTTAATGTATAAATAATTAAGAATATAAATTACTAGTTTATCATTATAATAGAAACATGAGCTGTAGGTAATGAACTGTAAATTATTTTTAAGTTTATATTGAAGAAAAAAAAGTTTCGCTACCCCCAGTGGCCACAACTCAAATACGTCCTTGCTATAAGTGCTAATGAGTAATCTATAAAAATGTTTCATTTTTATCATTAATTTTTTTTTTTTTACTATTATAACTGGAAAATATTTTATCATTTTGATTAAATTGGATTATTTTCTATGTGACGCACTATCTCATAATAGTATTACATCTACAAAATATAATACATTGTTGTAAAGCCAATATGTTTTTCGCTTCACCCAGAACTTAAAATGTGTAAATAGTATGTAATTGCAGAGCCCTACATTGGTTGTTTTAAGTTAACGGTTTCGGGTAGGAGGATTGTAGTTTCCTAATTGTAATTTGTAATCCTAGTTGTAACTCTTGCTGTAGCGCTATAGTGAATATTGTGTCTAAACGGATTTCACGTAAACATCGTTTATGCACGTTGTGATTCGTTGCTATTTCCATATCCGGGTGCCATGATATCGATCAGTTGCCACTTCAAAATACGTTTGAAAACGCAATACTTCATGTTTCAATTATTTGAACACTTGCGTCATGTTGATTAAATTATTTGAAAATACTTTTTTTTCATTTTTATTTTTATTTTTATTTTCCGTAAAATATGAGTTTTTTAACATTAAATAAATATTGACTCGTATAAACATCGTTAACGGCTAGACAACCGTACGGTGATGTCAATCATTATTGGCGCAGCTCGTGGAAATTCGGTCGAAATAGTTCAACAGTTTCTTGTCCGACGTTTTCGTGCAACCCTTCTTCCATCGTCGTGACGGACCACTTTGCACTCGTTCGCGCCGCACCGACCTGCACTGTCGCTGTCGCGCTTGTCGGATGTGGCCTCGGGCACTGGAATACTCAACGTGGAGGCGGGGGTGCACCGGTTGCACAGTTGCCGCAGTCCGAAGTCGTAACCGCGTTGGTCGTACTTGGTGTAGGCTGCGGGGGCGGGGCCGACGCGTCTTTTGGCTGTAGAAGCTCGTCCCGGTGGCCATGGGGCGTAGCGAACCGGTTGACTCATAGTTGCGACCGCGGATTTCCTTACCCTACGTTCCAGGTTACGCAATATCTGCTGTCGCGTTTTCTTGTCCGCCGGCGGCTTAGCCCACGCGACGTCAAGGCATACGCCCGAATTCACGTCCCTGAAACAGTCCAGCCCGTCCATGGCCGATTGCGCATCCTCACGCTGCTCAAAGTGCACGAATGCGTAGTTCTTAAAGTTCTTGACGCGCTCCACAACCCCGTACCGGCCAAATATCTTGGCCAGCATGCGTTCGTCCAGCACGTCGCCGTACTGTTTGACGAACAGTATGCGCACCTTAGCCATCGTGTCCGCGTCAACCTGCGGTTCCGGGTCCGCCCAGTTCACCTTCGTTTTGCACCCGAAAACCTTTTGCTTCGACAGTGCTCGCTTGGCGTCCGTAGCCGCGGCCACTGACCTGTAATCCAGGAAGCAGAAGCCCCGGTGCATCGATGGGTCGTCGAAGTTCTTGTACGTGATCACACGCACTAGATCACCGCACGTTATGCGGCTCACTTCATCGAATCTCTTTTTCTGTTTTCATCTTCGGCAAGTTGCCCACGTACAGCCTATACTTTTGGCTGTAGTCCTTAGTGGTCGAAATGCTCTCCGAACGATTCGTCATCGTGATTCTATCACGTAGTATTATCAACTGTAAGTCTTGAGCGTGGTCGACGATACGATGCGTGATGGTGTTGCGAATTCCTCGTTTTTTAACCTTTTTTTTATTTTCTTCCTGTCCACAGTATTTCCGTTATGTTGTCTTGTTGACAATGAACGTTCGATTAATATTTCGCACTTGTTTTACACTCGTTGAAAATACTCGCTATGGATTATATGATATTGATTTTGTATACATAGCCAGTGTGTTATTACATAGTACTATTTGTAATCGAGTAATTTAGTGCCTTTATATATATATATATATATATATATATATATATATATTCGTCGTACGTAAAAAAAAGAGTGAAACCGATGTACACGGGGTGCTGTGATCGAGTTTGAAAAGTTGATGATGTAACCACCACCGACGTTACGCATTAAAAATGTTTATAGATTGTCAATCGGACGTGATATATTTAGCCGATCACCTACAAATGCCGACGGGTTCGCTGCAAGTGCAAGCGAAATCGTTGATAATACTAAGGATAATGCGCAACGATAACCGACCGTGTAACCAACTGCTTGGGGCATACGGGTAATGTTATAATCGAAATTCGCACGTGCACCATCGTGTGCAGTTTCGCGAAGATACCGAATCGCAGCCGACAACCAAGGGCGTATTTGAGGGGGGCTAAGGGGGCATTCGCCCTCCATGGCTCGTATTTTTTTTAATATAATACATTGATTTATTTAAAAAATGTAATGTATAAATAAATAAGAATATTATTTAATTAATTACTAGTCTATCATTATGTTATCATTATGACAGGAACATGAGCTATAGGTAATAAACTGTAAATTATTTTTAAGTTTGTATCGAAGAAAAATTAGTTTTGCTCCCCCCCACCCATGGCCTCAACTCAAATACGCCCTTGAGAAGCAGAGTGCCTGGTATAAAATTATCAGTCGACAAACAGTTAAAAAAAAAAAGGTACAGATTTTTTTTAGAATATCATACACAGATTGACAGAGTACCGGTAACAAAAACGAAACGGAAAGATAATAAGATAAGGTCGTCACTTTACTCTCAAATTTTTTCTGGTGTAGAATCAGCAAGTGAAGTAGCACGTTTTGATAAGAAAAAAAAGGTATATACTTTAGTTCCATGTCCAAACGTAGTTAAAACTTATAATCAACATATAAGTGGAGTTGACCTTTTACATTCCATTATAGCACGGTATCGGATCGCTATGCTTAGTAAAAAATGATACTTTAAGCTGTTTTAATTTTATGGACATCACAATGGTTAATGCTCAGGGCCGCAGCTAGGGGGTAGCGAGAGATGCCTACGCCCCTGGCGTAATTCCTAGGAGAGCGCAAAAATGAAAATCTTGCATTTAATGTTAAAAATTACAACGGTCAATGTCGTATATTTTGTTTACAAAAACTTTAACGTCCTTTATATTAATTAAAGCAATCATTGAAAATACAGTAAATCCTCGTTTAACACCGAAGTTAGGTTCCTGTAAAACACAACGTTAACCGAAAAAACGTTAATTAAAACATTTTTTACATACACTTTATTATTATGGGTTCCTGACAATAAATAACAATGTATGTATGTATTATTATAGTTATTATAATTGCATGATTAAATTATTTTATTCTTTATTATTAATTTATTGATTAATAAATACTATATAATATTTAAATAATTTGTATTTGTACATACAGCATAAAAGACTGCAAAAAGTGTCGTTGAACAACTGACCATTAATAGAATGAAAAACTATTACGAAGTACATAGTATTACTTAAAATAAATACAAATTGTACTCTCGTATGATAAGTATGTAAATAAAAACGATAACATTATGTATTATCTGAAAAAGGTTGAACATAATAAAATACGTACTTTTATATAAAATTCATATAAATATAACAATAATTTGATGAACACACGTAATACAAACGACGTTATACTGAAACAGTAGCAGTGTTAAATGAAACAACGCTAAATGAGGCGACGTTAAACGAGGACTTTCTGTAATATCTAATAAGCATAATACTTTTAAATTAAAAATACATAAGAGCGCATTCTGAAATTTCGCCCCTAACGCAATGTTTGGTTGCTAGTAGCAACTTGCTACGGTAACTGTTAATGCTTGGTTATTATATCAAAAAAGAAAATACCATATCGTTAGCAGATTTTCGACGTGAGAATACTGTATTACTTTGCATGCAAGGGAGCAATATATGTACGTTAACTACAAGAGGAAGAAAACGAAATCGTGAATTGCCAAGTAAACCGAAAAAAAAGAGGTATGTACTGAACACTCGTGAGTTCATTTTTGATAAAAATTAATAATTTATGATTATAAATATCCAATCATATATGCCACCAACGGATGTTCAGAAAGATCAAATTGGCCACTTTGCAATTGTTACCAATTTAAGGGAAAGATGCAAACTTTATGGTTTGAAAAATTCAATGCAATGTACTAAGTGTCAAGTATTTTTATGTTTGAACAAAAATAACAATTGTTTTTATACTTTTCATAATAAATTTGTGTGTTCATTAATAAGTTATGCAATTTCATATAAAATAAAATAAAAGAAATTTAATTATTTTTAAATTTATTCGAAAGAATTTAAAAATCTAAATATTATATTATAAAAGTATGTATTATATAAAATATAAATGATATTCAAAAATGTTTGCATTTAGTTTACTTGCATGATGTTCCATTTTTGGAACAATTTAACTTTTAGCTTTTTTGAGTAAAATTTTTTTATTATTTTTTAGAACATAAATGTACACCTAGCAATCATATATAATTTAGTTGTTGAAAAAAAATGTCATGCCGTATGGGGTTAACGATTTCATTAGATTTTATTTTCAAGAAAATATTTATTGAATTTACGTATAATTAATAGTAAAATGTTTCTCGAACTAATCACAAGAAATACATATGAAATTATATATTACATGAAGATTTTAAAAACAAAAAATTATTCGGGTTTCGGGTTAAACAAAATGTTTTATTCGGGTTTTGGTTAATTCGGGTGTTTAAAATAAAAAATCATTCGGATTATATAGGTTCGGGTGTTTGGATTTTTTAAGGGTTTTTAGGAGTGTTACGGGTTTGGGTTGGGTTAATTCGGGTAGATGGCCCTGGCTTAAATAATTTTACTGCACGTTTATCACTGCTGAAGTGTATCATTTCACCATATTTAATATCATAATAATAATATAATTTATATTATAATATCTTAGGTCATAGAAATCAAAAAGGCGCAAAACTGTAAAACAAAATCAATAAAAAAAAGGGCAAAACTCTTAGGTCAGATAAAACTTCACTGTCAAGGTGATTGCTGTATTAGAATTTTAAACTTGAAACCAATGTATCATTGATCTTGAAAAAAATGATTTATAGTGAAAGATGTTGGGTAAAACAGTTTATATTTTTATAGATGTTTGATATAGTACAAGTACGAAATTTTTTAATATGGTACATCTTTAATAGGTTTAATTTTTAATGTTATAACTCATATGTTCTTAACCGGGGGACCGTATATGGTTATTTGGAGGTTCACGAGGTAGTTATGAGTTTTTTTTTAATTAGCCAAAAATAAATTTGTTTTGATTTGTGTTGATAATAATAAAAATATCTAGTCCGCATTCTGTCACTTGAAAGACAGCAGTGTTTTTAAATACCAAACTTAGATTACGATAATCTTGTATGCCATATAAAGTTATCGTAATCGTAAAATATTATACGGCAATATAATCTAACGAGCATTTCAATTGAATACGAAATCCATACGGAAACTAAAGTAAGAAATCAATTTGACATTAAAGACGATATGTGCGTTGCTCTGTCCAATATAGTCCCAGATTTCGAGGTAATATTACAATCAAAACAACAGCAAATTGAGACTTATTTTTAAATATAAGAAAACGTGATCAATGTCTTCGCTGTCAATCATATGGTCATACATGCACCTACTGCAACCACCACCCCAGATGTGTTCGTTGCGGTGATCCCCATGACTCATCACAATGTCAAAAAGATCGAACCCAACCCGCAAAATGTGTCTTATGCGGTGGCCCACATCCTGCCAACTATAGAGGTAGCTCAGTTCACAAAGAACTTAACAAAAACAGAAAACTTTTACCATTGAACCCCTGGCGAAAAAACGCACCAACCCTCCAAGCTTCTTCCTCCTCACAAGAACCTCAAAAAAACACCTACGCAGAATTCCCGCCCCTGCCACAAAATTCTACCAACCATTCACACAGAACCTATAATGAATCTTCTATTCCTAATGTTTCAAATAACACAACGGACCAACTCACGTCTTTCATTACGGAATTCAAGTCACTAATCAATCCTCTGATATCCCTACTTACATCACTCATCGAAAAACTTATCTCAAACAATGACCGTAAATAAGTTATCCTCCTTAACCATTCTTCTATGGAACGCTAACGGAATCTCCAACAACATGGAAGAACTTAAACTTGTTCTCGCTGAAAAAAACATAGATATAGCTCTTATCTCCGAATATCATCTCACCTCCAACTCAAAATTTAAAATTTTCGGATACGACTACCTCCAAGCCAATCACCCCGATGACTTAGCTCATGCTGGTGTCACATTACTAATTTCCACCAAAATCCTACACTCACCTATTCCTCTTAAATCTAACCAACTTATGCAGATAGTCGCTACATCTATAATTATTAACTCCATACCCACTTCTATCGCATCTGCCTACTTCCCACCAGGATTACCTTTTCCTGCAGAAGATCTGTCATTATTTCTTCAAACACTGAATCAC